CATCCCTGGCAGTGTTCAAGGCCAGGTTGGACACAGGGGCTTGGAGCAACCTGCTCTAGTGGATGGTGTCCCTGCCCGTGGCAGGGGCTTGGAGCTGGATGAGCTTTAAGCTCCCTTCCTTACGGCTATGGACAGGCAAGAGGAAGGACACACATGCTTTTTGGTGACTGGGCTAGATCACTTCAGTGTTATCCTGCTCATGTTTAAAACACAAAGTTTCAGGTGGTTTGGCTGCCAGTAAGTTATTTATGAATGCATGGAGAACAGCATGGATTCAGGACTGAAATTCCCCATGTGTTAACGCATAGTGCCACTCAAATTGATTTGCTGTGTATACATGAATAAGCTTGGGAAATTTCCCCTTTGAGTCCCTGGTCACAATTATTTTAGAAGAGAAATATGCCTCTATCTCCTGTACCAAATCATCATCTCGGATTCTTATTGCAGAATTATTGCACTGTTTGCAATAGTGAATTCCCTTAAAGACAGTGAAATATGGAATTTGTCAACCTTGTACCTCCATCTGATTCTTGAGGTTTCTGCATTGTGTTGTAATCTCCACCACTTCATAAATTCCTATTGCTTTTTGCTTGCCTGCTGTGTCCCTCTGCAACTGCCCTTGGGTGGGAAATAGGAAAAATCCAGCAATCCTGGGGTTTTAAGCACTATTATGAAGACAATGAGATGGCAATTGGAATAACACATTGCTGCTTTTGTTTTCAGTGGTGGCCTGAAGGACAACGATGTGATTATAAGCATCAATGGACAGTCGATAAGCTCAGCCAGTGATGTCAGTGACATCATTAAAAAGGACAGTACGTTGAACATGGTCGTACGCAGGGGCAACGAAGATGTTATGTTAACAGTAGTTCCTGAAGAAATCGATCCCTAACCAGAAACATGAGCTGGATTTCATGTTTTCTTTTAACAGCATTGGACTGCTTATATTCTCTCTGTGCTGGTACAGGAAACGTTAGACTTCTGACCAACATTCTGCTTCTTCAGTGGATTAGTATTGGCCAACAGAGTAACTTCTAATAGGTTTAAGGTGCAAAAATCAGTGTAATTTCACATACTCCAGATGATAATTTTTTCCTTCTGTATTATGTATGCAATGTATTCTTTGCTGGCTGTTACATTTCCCGCTTAACAGATCGACGTTTGCTTCCCTGTGTTGGATAGATTTACTGTTATTTCCGCTCAGATTTAAACAAAACCCACGCACACAATGTGTGGTGTGGTATTCAGGTATTTATAGGTTAGCTGTGTTTTAACTGGAAATGCCATTGTAAAGGAGTAGTTGGTTGAAAACACAATTGGGGAAAAAATAATGAAGTTTGGTTTATAAACACGAAGAAATCCCAACTGAAATAACCTTTTGAGGATCCCATGCAGGACTTTAATACTATGATATTTTCTTAGTGTTATTAAAAGAATTCAACAGAACTTCTTGTGAGTGGTTCGTTTTCCTTCTCATTGGGGACTGTTTTCCTTTGAACAGCACATCTGCCTGGAAAAGAACGTCCTGGTGGTCTCCTTTCTATCATCATAAACCAAAACACTTATTTTTCACTATGTGCTTGTATTTGTGCTCTTGTGCATCTGCTTTTCCTACCATGGCTGTCTCGAATTTGTCATATTAGCTATTGCTGATTGCCTGTCTTCCAGCTGCTAATACATTTTCCTTATTGTTTTAATTACTACTTCACCAATGCCTAAAATGTTTCCTCTCTATAGAAATCATCCTACTGTAGATCACAGATCCTGTACCATTCTAGTTCAGATATTAGGATGTTTGTAACCATCATAGATCTGGCCTTAAGCTCTTTCAAAAGGGCTGGTTTATTGGCATTCTTGAGTGCTGGTGTGTGTAGGTAGGACCTGGTTTTGGCTAAGATATTGAGCATTCCTCTAACAGAGAGACTAATCTTTGTACTTGTTTTTATGGATGCCCTTGAAGTAGTGAATGGAATTGTCTTACTGTGAAGAGAACAATCACCTAAATTTAGTTACAGTGTACTTACCTGTTTGGTAGACAATAGGCTACGCAACCTTTCCTTTCCTCTGTTGAAATATGTATCTTGGAGAATAAATCCAAGGGCTATAGATAAGTTCCGGTGACCGTCATTCCTAAACGTGCTGCTCTTCTGGAAACAGCGTCTTAGTAAACCTCTTCCACTGGCTAGCTGGCAGTTTATGGTTTCTAAAGCAAGGACTGCATTCCACACAATTACAGCAAGAATTCCTCTAGACCTGGATCCCTGACAGTGCTGCTTCTCCCTCTGGCTGTATTTCAATTCTGTTTCAGCCACTTTACCTCAATCTGGGGAGCTCTGTATCCCCAGGCACCAGCTCCTGCCGTTACTCGCCTGGATTGCTGTAAACTTACCCAGCCATACAGTGTCTTGACACTTGACATGACTGAACACCTCATTACTGATTTACTTGTTCCGTTGCTGTGGTAAATCACACGTCTGACAATCTGCCAAGGTGACACAGTGCCAAGCACTGGAGGTCCACAATACTGTCAAGCATGAAAGATGCAAAGTAGAATGATCTCGGCGAGTTGCTCTGTAGTATATTTGCACTGCAAGTTGATGAAAGTTTGAGCTTCCTGTTGAAGCAGTATTATGTTTTGCAGCCCATCCATGCCCTGTGTAGTGCACAGTGAGGTGACATACAGCTTTCAGCAAAAATGAATTGAAATCACCTTCTCTGCTACTGCATCTAACCCAACTAGCAAAAATCAAGCTTTCCCAAAGCCAGGAAATTGTCTTTAAAACAGAAGTTATTTTTCATCTGCCTTTTTATTTCAAAACAAGTGGTTGCATAATTTGCAGAGTGGGTTGATTCTCTTTGTTCTTATTGTTTGTTGTTGTTTTGGTCTCTTAATATGCAAACCCATTAACTTTTCTCCTTTGTTTCTAGCTAGCTACTTTGGGTTTACCGACGATGTCCCTGCAATGGCAGCACAGCACAGCACATCTTTGTGCCTCTGATTTATGTAGATGCTACCGTGAGGCATAAATACCTAAGGACAATAGCTGAGGATTTACTTTAGGAACTTGACTTCTGTAAATGGTTTTTCTGCACCACTGGGATTAGTGAAATATGTGGCCGGATTTCTAGCCCGTAGCTCCATCTAGTGGGATGTGAGATGGTCTCTTATTGCAGCCGGTCATTTTCTATCATCTGTTTGAAGGTGGTTTTCTGATTTATCTTTTTTTATTTATAATTAATTTCTTTGCATCAGATATCCATAACCACATGTATATCCCGAATAATGTTTAGCATTAAAGCTTTTAGTATCCAGCCATGTCTGTAGCTACCCATGTTGGAGTGAGATGACCTTAAGGTCCTTTCTAACCCTAACTATTCTGTGATTCTGTGTTACAACCAGATCTGTCTCTGAATGTTTTTTTAGGTATTTAAAACAAGATTAGTGATAAGCAGAGACACAGAAGCAAAGTTTGTCATTAATATAATTAATTAGAATTAGTATTTTTTGATGTATTACTGGGTTACAGATCTGGAATGGGTTTTGTTCTTTGTTACTTCAACGCACAGTTCTTTCCAAAGTGCAATTGAAAAGACTTTGTACAGAAAAGCTTTGGCACAGTTTGTATAAATAGCAGTTTCCTGGAAATTTTAGCAAGTGTTGGACATTAAATCAGGGAAACTGGACATTCTGGCTTGATTGCCAGTATTTTGGAATGTCTGAAATGGAAACTGGAGTTGCTGCGTGTGTGATGCCGAGTAGATGGCTACGTGTGGCTACACTCAGAGGTAGTTTTGCAAAGCCAGTTCACTTATTCCATGAGGGAAATGTATCAAGCTGTAAAACAAATGATCATGACTAACAATTGTCTGGTTTCTGTGTCTTATGTGCCAAGCAGTAAGGTTCTGTGGTTTCAATACCAGAGGACGTTTTTCTTTCCCTCCCTCCCCGTAACAATTTTGTATTTATGCTAAGGAAGCTGAGGATGTTTTTAAAACTACATCTTTCCAAATTAGAGTGAGACACACTGAGTAGGGCATTAGATTATATGCATGTTCTTATTGTATATCAGAAAAATACTGTAGAGGTGATTAGATCTGCAGCAGCAAATGTCCAGGGGAAATAGTGGTGATCAAGAAGTTAGTAGCCAGCTATCCAGAGCAGTGAATGGTGAGTGCCACTGAGTATGTTTTTGCATGCAATGGTAGGTCACTGCCATCCATAGAGTGAGAATAAATACATAAATATTCCTTTGAGGTTCTGGGAATCTCCTTGGCTGAATTACAGTTGAGATAATTCCTGTTGTCCCTAAATTCCTGTATTATATCCCACTGTCTCCTCTTCCAGCCAGAAAGCACAGGTTCTGAGCAATCTGGTCTAGTGGAAGGTGTCGCTGCTCATTGCAGGGGGACTGGACTAGATGACCTTTGAAGGTCTGTTCCAACTTAAACTATTCTATGATTGTATGATCCTTTACTCAGTTTCATCCCTCCCTTTGCTCTAACTAGTTCCTGACTGTGAGATGAAACCAAAATTGCACTGAAAGAGCTGATGTTAAGTCAGACTTTGAAGTTCAATGTCAGCGAGCTGTTGTGAGGCTTTCTTCACACCAAGAGGCAGAATCATCTCAGAGATAGGAAGGAGCCAGGCAAAGAAGAGACAGATGAAAGTCTGCCTCATCTTGCTCTACCCTTGACTTTAGGATGCAAACCTGAGCTTGTCAACCTCCTATCCAGACCCCAAAATCTGATCAGCATCAGGTAAAGTTACCTGGAGGTGAAGGGATTGCTAGCACCCCTCACATTGTGAAGGCCATTCTCATTCTTGACTGTATAGATATACATACCAAAAAGCTTTGTTGATATCTACATTCTTACTGTGTGTACTCACTACATCTGTACCACCTGTGTGTCCAGCTGTGCTGCCCAGATGTCTGGTGCACACCACATCTATTTTATTCCCCTCAAGCCCCAAATTCCATCCCTTCTGCAAGAGTCAGGGCTGGACCCACTGACCTCAAGGATTTCATCCTGTTTAGCCTCTTTGTGCTGTCATTCTGTGAATATGCAGTAACTTCATTTGTTAAGTGTTATTTATTGCATGAAATTACTGTTAAAACCAGCACATATGTAATCTTGAGTGATTGGATGGAGAAAGTGAGGAAGAAAGCTACCAGAGCAGCTCATCAATTTAATCTGTCTACATCTTCAGAGAGTTTTCCTCCAACTCCAGGAGGTTTGTTTAGTAGTCATGGTACTGCAGTAATTGTCCCCATAAACTCCCTAAGGAAGTGGATGATAACTAGGAACTGATTAGAGAGAAAATGAGTTAGAGCTAAAGCATAGGAGTCAAACATAGTGTATTTGGTAAAGAATTAATGTTAGTAGCTTGGAAATACTGCGTAACATGGTGGACAGGAAAATTAAATCTTTTCTTTCTGTCTATTCCCTTTCTGTTCAGTGTTTATGCAGAGAGCACAGTGATTTTCAGGAAGTTTGCAGTGTGAGTACCTGAGGGAAATGGACTGTGTTACAGCTGTGCACTGCTGCTGGAACATGATCTGTCAGGGGCCTGAAAAGAAATGGATTTTCTATTCAAAGACTCATGTACGAATACATGGAACTACTTTTAAAGCGGTTTGTCCATCTTACTAATACAGCCAGACTAGTCTCTCTTCTTTTCCTCCATTCCATTCCTTTCATCATTTTAATTCACATTCACTGTTCTTCTTGGGTTTATACCTTTAACAGGCTGATCACAGCACTGAACCTGTTCCTGCACTTTGGATTGCTATGTGCTCCCATGCTTTCATTTGAAGCACCATAGCATGCAGAGTGTAAGTACCATTACTTAGGATTAATTTGTCTCATCATCTTTTGAATTCCTTGGCAACTTAACCTTGCTGATTTAGATCTTTTACAAGTGACTCTCTTGCAGCACTTGTTCTGCATCATCCTGCTTGCCGGTGTTGAGTTCCTAAGGCAGATGGCACATATGGGGTTGCCATCCTATAGACTTATAGGATCACAGGATGGTTTGTGTTGGAAGGGACCTTAAAGCTCATCCAGTTCCAACCCCTGCCATGGGCAGGGACACCTTCCACTAGAGCAGGTTGCTCCAAGCCCCTGTGTCCAACCTGGCCTTGAACACTGCCAGGGATGGGGCAGCCACAGCTTCTCTGGGCACCCTGTGCCAGCGCCTCAGCACCCTCACAGGGAAGAGCTTCTGCCTCAGAGCTCATCTCAGTCTCCCCTCTGGCAGGTTAAAGCCATTCCCCTTGTCTTTATTTCCTCAGTTTGTTTGCAGGCTATGGCTGCTTCCAGTGAAAGCACAGCCTTCCCTTCCCCTCCCCTCCGAAATGGAGCTAATGGTGCACATCACAGCTCTGCAGAGGAACATACAGGTGTGAGGTGCTATTGGCTGGGAAAGCTGTGATTTAGGCTGTGTC